AGACCTGACCGGTGCCAAACCAGGGAATTTGCCAGAACACGGGAGGTCAATATTGTCTAGCAGCGTTACTGACACTTCCACAGCTTCCTGGGCTCATAGAGGACATTGAGGGGTAAGTTAGAGCTAGATAACAGCATAGAACACTGAGAGCCAGGACTGGTTACTGTAAACTAACTTTATGGGGCCACGGGAAACTTGGCTACATCCATAAGAGGACGTCCAGCTAACTAAAATCATGCCAGACCACAGATGTTGCCAGACCAGAGAGTGTCAACCTGTATAATGTGTTCTTCAGCCGTTTGTCCAGCCTACTTTTAAATCTCCCCAACTGAGGAGGCTTCTAACAGATTTATTTTTCAGCAGCTCAGATAGGGGGAGGGAGAAACCTCTCCCTGATTTTTCTTCTCTTTTTTTCTCTGCAACAATGCAGTTTTATTTCTTGTCCCCAGGGATCAGAGGAGCACATCTCCAGACCATGCTGTTGCTGCGGGAGTGAAGATTTTACTGAGGAACCGTCTCCCAGGGAGAAAGCTTCTTCCGTGACCTGCCAGCGCAGCCCTTGCTCTGAGCCTCTGATACACTCGCATTTCCATATTAGACGCGAGAACGTTCTGCTCTGTTTGACAGCCGTGCTGGCGTGGCCCCGTTTCCACCGAGATAGGGCTCTCTTTTGATCTCTGGTGTGTGCATCGGGGAGGGGGAAGGGAAGGTTACCACTGCGCTGCTGGAAGGGTTGCCAGCCCTACAGGTGTTTTTTTTCCAGTCAGTCAGAGAAAGGGAGAGATTTCCTCAGCTGCCTCTGTTCTTGCTTTGGGAGACGCAGCCACGGGGGCTCAAGATGTGCCGCCAGCGCAGGGTCTCTTATGCTCGGCAAAAGGCCATTTTGGAGACAACGCTGCCATGCCCCGTGGGACAGCTGCATTTAGGGCCAGCATGCGCTATCACGGGATAGTGCTGAGGCAGGGCACACGAGGCAGGGGAGCAGCAGCCATAGGCCACTCGACAAGTGCCCAAGCAAAAGGCCCCAGAAGGCAAAGATCTCCTCTAGCTCTCGTGGCTCCTGCGGCAGCACTGCCCAGGGCGGGTGGAGGCACTGCAAGGTGCCATGCTGTGGAGGGGATAAGGGGAGAGGCAGGAAAATTCAGGCCAGGGTCTAGCCTGCCTCACTGGCGCCATCGCCCACGACTGCAAACTGGCAGACCTGTCCCCTGTCTGGTTTTGCGGCCGAAGGCAGCAAGGGTCCCGCCATTGTTAAGGGAGACGGGGCCAGTGCAGGGGCTGCCAGCTCTGCACAGGGTTTGCCCAGGCACTTACCTGGGTGCCTTCCTAGCACGGCATTACTCAATGATGCATCAGTGGATTTGCAGGGGGGCTCCTTTCACTAATGTCCCATCTGCATGTGCACAAGTCCTGGTCGCACAAACTTCCTCTCCTACCAAACACCCCAAGCCTGGTTCTAGGTCACTATGTCTCAGTAACCCAGCACCGTGGAGGGGCAGGGGTGTGTCCCCATCTGTTAATACTCCTGGAAAGCCACATATTTGCCAAGGCAGCTTGTCCACCACTCTGGGGGAGACAATCCCATCCAACAAGAGTGGCAGAGGAGAATCCTGCAACCAGTTAACATGGGGTTCCCTTTAGCCCAGACAGCACGCTTGGCATGTTTTAATCCCACCATCGAATGATGGGAAAGTCTTGGATACAGCTGGATTTGCAATGCAGGCAGGCTGAGCTAAAATGCTGAGCGGATGTTTCAATCTCTGTCTTAGGCATTTAAATGGTTCCCATCAGCAGAGTATCTAAGTACCTGTACTGGAGAAGGGATTCAAAGCCGGGCCCAACCCCTAAAGTAGCGCTCTAACCACAGGGCAATCGCTCCACTCCCGATTTCCTGTACGCATATGGAAGACAAGCTTCCCTACAAGGCACCCCGCGCCCTCCCCAGCTGCATTGGGACACTCACTGAACACTTCCCTGAAGTGCCCTTTCCCTGTAAAGAAATGCTGGTGCTACATCAGGAACATGATGTGACCGTGAACGTGCCTGGAAAGAAGATGCCTCCACTAACTGGCCTGACATTATTCAAAAGAAGCATGAGAATCAATGTCTCCTCTAGCCTCTCCTCACAACTCACTGCCACCAGATATTGTTCTGTGGCTGCACAGTGCCAGACACAGTGGGCTCCTGGCCCAGGTACCACCATACAAATAAATTATAAATAATTCTAAAGTCCTAATAATATCCTTGAGATCAGAGCTTATCAGGATTCAAAGGAGGAGCGTTTGCAGAGGTAATAGGAACATTTACCACGGCAGTCGAGAGGATAAGTCCTAAAAGGGTATAAGCTGGTAGGCTCCAGGGCCTAAGCCACAATGCTGAAATCCAGCACCCATGGCTGGCCCAGGTCATCTGATTTGGGCTCATAGGGCTTGGTCCGCATAACTGCTGGGCAGACGTTCAGAACAGGGCTGGGACTCCGCCCCCAGGCCAAACGTCTGCACATCAATTTTTAACCCACAGGTTGAGCCGAGTCAGAGTCAGCTGACCTGGGATGGGAACAGCTGTAGTGGTGCTATGCAAACCTACCCTCAGTACAGGGATGGAGAAGAAATGTCTCCTGTGCAGGCCTGGCTATTACGGGAGTTGTAAACCTTTCTGGTATTAGTCATTGCTGTCCGCAAGATACTGGACTCGATGGACCACTGGTCTGATCCATTCTGGTAACTTGGCTGTCCCATACTTCCCTCTAGTTCCTCTAATCTACACACAATGCAAAACACCACTATTTACATTGATCAGGGAACCTAACTAGTCAGTGACAGCTCCTCATGGGTCAAAGGCCTCCTACGGTCCCTGGGGAGCTGCACTAAATCTCTCCAGATGTGTGTACCAGAAGAGGGAGGATTTTGGAGGTTTAAATTAGACCCATATAGTTTAGAATGTTTGTGTCAGTCTCAGTTCAGATGAACTTAAAGTAAGGGAAGGCATTCAGGGGAAAAAAAGGAGTGGGGAGCAGAAAATGGAAGTGGTGTTGTCACCTGTCAGAACTTCTGTGGAAATCCTGACTGAGTGATGCAGGGAGAAACCCTGATTCAATTATTACGGGTGACCAACCAGGATTTAGAAAGAAGGGAATGTGGGTAAAGGAACCTATACAAAAGCAATGTTTGGCTCCGTTCTGGCTCTCATTTCACCTAAACCTCCAAAGCGGGGGGAGGGGGGGGACATTTTTGGCCACTCTCTGGTCAGACTGAATCATTTGTGACTTGATCCTGCAACCAACGAAGTAAAGTAATGCGGACAAAGATTGTGCAGAATGGGACCCTTTTTGAGGGGCAGGGCTAAGAGTCATAGATCCCAAAACTCTAGTCTGGTCTTGCACAGCCTGATTAAAGTTCAGCTGCTTCTCAACAAGACAGATTAAACTGCCACATCCATGATTCATTTTCAGAGCATGCAATGGCTAGGAAAGGGCAGAGGAGACACAGTCAGCAGAAGCCAGAAGGTGGGCAGAGGATGGGCTCCCTCCTTAGCGTGGCATGGAATTGTATACCTTGGCAGCGAAAATCTAAAGATCTTGTGTAAAAAATACATTTCAGCACCCACAGAGGATTTCTCCTGGAATGCAGACACATGTCTGATGCTAACTAGGGGGAAGGACAAGAGGAGGACAGGAAGCGGGTGTATGAACAAGTGAAAGGAGATAATTTCCCCCCTACAGTCCCCGTTGGACCAGGTATTGTTAGCATGTAATAGGAATTCCTACTAGACTATTCATGCATTCCTAACTGGAACAACTTGGAGATAAGAGGCAGGAAGGGGGTACATAAAGGAAAATGATTGCAAATGAGTGTATGTTACTAGGTGATGTTAGCAGCTACTGTACCAGGCACTAGTCATGCCCATCAGTAGCCAGTGAGGATGGCTTTTGAAATACTAACATCCTGATAATCATAATTTGGGTGTAGGAGGCAGGGAGGGGAGATACATGAAGGAATATTATTGGGAGTGCCATCCTAGATGTCGTACCAGGCACAGCTAGAAGGCGCGATAGTGGGTATTATTTTAGGAAGCAATGAACGTTCCACAGTAAAACACTGCTCCTTTGAGACCATCTGGGTTGGTTAACATGGGGGTGTATTTCCCCTCCCCCCGCCACACACACTGTAAGAATCTCAGATGCTGGACTTCAACCCCATAAAACAAGAGCTGGCTTGCAAGCAGCCAGCCTAACGCTTCTTTCTTTTTTTCTTTTTTTTAAATGGCCAGACCAACGCAGGTTAAGGAATAATGATGGAGGTGGGCATTACTGACAGCTAATTAGTTTGAACTTAACAACAAAGCCTGTAAGTGAACGGCCTGCAAAACCTCATTTACTCAACCCCACGACGAACTCATTAACTGCAGGCTCCATTACCCATTCCACTTTGCCGGTCGTAAAGAAAGTTTTAAAATCATGTTTATGGGAGGGAGGCATAAAAACAAATCAGGAGATTTAAGTAAAACCCCTAAAATTGAAAACAAAACATTCCCCCTCCCCGCCCCAGCGCTACAGATTCCATTTATCAAGGAACAGCTTCATCAACACAGAAGGAATATCTAACTGGACTTTTACTATGCTCATAATTAGAGACCCATAAAAAAACAGATGCCAACATGACAACGCACTGCATGTCCTGTATTAAACATTCAAACCAAGGCTCTCCGTCTGAAAAAGATCCCCTGCCCACGACCCACCTCAGGAGCTCCTGGCTTGGTTTTTAAACCGTAAAATAATCAGTCTAAGGAAGGGAGTTAATTCCCCACACACATACTCTGATCTTCCTTCCACTCAGCTGAAGAGAACACAGTGCATTGGTAGCTTTCCTCGCACGTCCCCAGCACCGGTACTGAAAGCTCCTATTCAGCATCTCGCATCCCTCCCTCGTTAATTTCAATTAAGTTAGATTCTTAAGACAAGAAAATGGGGCGGGGAGAGGGGAGAGAGAAGCAGCACTTACCCTTTGGGGACTCGCTTCGGGTTTTCTTGCTTTCTAAAGGACACTCACTGCTGCTGTTGGGAGAGCATACTCTTCTCCTGCCTAAAATTTCATCTAGAAGAGACAGACACACACATACACAGAGAGAGAGAGAGAGAAATGAGAGACCTGAGTATCAGATAACGCTCCACTTCTTTCTTTTTCCAAGAATCAACCAGAGACTTATTTCGCATTTTGCTGCCCAAACACAGAGGGGGAGAGAGAAAGAAAAATCATCTTCTTGAGAGCTCAGATCTGCTTCCCTAATCATGCCGTCCAAAGGGAAGTAATGACTGTTCAAACAGTGATCAATGCAATGATTTTAAGCCGTAAAATTCTGAATCGAGTTTATTTCCTTACTGAGTTTCATCATTTGTTCGGCAGCCTTTTGTCCCTCTTGTGTTTCCACTCCTTTCATGCCCTGATGCAAAGCAACTGGGGGAAGGAAAAAAGGGGGTGGGAGAAGAAGAAAAACAATTCCCTCTGAGTCTTCCTACCACAGTATCTCTCTCGCCTAAAACCCTCAAGGTCCTTAGCAATCTTCTCCCTCTAGATTGTACGGAAATGCTCGAGCCTTTTGCATTAGTGCAGCTCTGCAAGCCAACGCAAAATATCTAATATACAATTACCGCGTCCTCTGAACAGATTTAAAATCAATATCCTCCCATAATAATGCTGGGGAAACTGAAAGCATGAAGTTGCATATGGGCAGGAAGGAAGAGACAGTTTGTCACTGTGAACATCAAATTCTCATTTATCACGGGCTTGTTAAAGATGCAGGCATCTTAAAAAACCTTGAAAACAAGTACCATATTTGAGAGAGTATAGGTTGCACCTGTCTATGAGTCAACATAAGCAAAGCCCAGATGCTCTGTATGCACGTTTCTTATGGTTAAGAAATGTTACAATTCAAGGCACCGCTGTTTAACACCACAAAAAAATATTTCTGTTCCACGTAGCCTCTCGATCCCAACCAGGGTCGTTTGTGCGAACAGTCACTCCGAATTAATTCAAGTTCCGCAAGCTAAATCTAGTGGACTGCACAGATATTCAATGTATTGGGAGACAGAGTGGGAAGAGTTGTAGCTGACAGCGTCCAAGTGGTACAGAGAACAGACAGTTAACATGCGGAGGGCAGAACCTGCTCAGAAATGCCTTTACCCAATGAGCGATGTTGGAACGCAGCAAAGTTACAAGTGGCATTTCAAGGTTTTAAAGAACACGAGCTGCCTCTGATCTTATCTCACCTTGACCCTGTCACCCGGGCTGTTAACACAACCAGCGCTTGGAAGGATGGCGAAGGTCTGCAGCCATCCGTAACCAAAAAACAAAGTAAATACAATCAAATGGCGACAATCAAAACAGACGAGAGAAAGAATGGAGTCAAAGAGGGGGACAGATCTTCAATCTTCAAGGCACTCCACATTTGAGCCTTAACTCAGCCTTTCGTGGGCTGCATTTTACCAAAGTGGCAACAAAGGCTCGCCACACACAGTGTCAATTGGCAGAGCCAAGATGGGAAGCACTTAAGGAGTATCTAGCCTGGCTGCCCGTAGTGAGGTCACAAGACAACGCCTCTCTCTCCTGCCCACTCCCAACTGTCTGGAGCTCTTCATTCTGGGTGTTGATTTTTCTGGTCATTATACTCTTGTGCTGCAAACCCTTAGAGCTGGAGGCCAAGGGCCTGTTTCCTTCTCCCATCCAGCTTTCGCTGTTTCAAAACCATGAAATCATGGGCGGCGGGTATCACAGGCAGGAGTAGGCATTGCCTTCCCAAAACTGCCTATGCTCTCCACTGGCCACCCACTAGGGCTGGGCCTGTGGTGTGGCAGCCCAGCTCTCTGGCTGGCCAGGAAGGATCAGGCGGCTGCCCCTGGCACTCTGGCCATCTGGGAAGGGTGGGACCACGCCACTCACTGGGATGGGGGAAACTAACAGGCCTGGGGGAGTAACCTAAGGTGGAAGCCGAGTGAGGCTCCATGGAAGTTGCAGAAGGGGCTGGACCTCAGGCAGAAGGGGCGGGGCTGGAGCCTGTCTTCTCACCTGAGCTTTTACCCACGGCCCATGCACGGAGTCCTGATACTTTGCTTGCCCCTCCCAAACTAGGCAGGGGGAAAGAATCACATCCAGGCTTGATTTCATGCATTCAGGGTAGAGAAGGTGCTTTTGAATCAAGCGAGGCGACACCTGGTTACAGTACCGGTGGTTTATGGCAGTGGTTCTAAGTAGCCGTGACTGCACCACTGTGCCAAAACATCTCATTCATGATCTACCGTCTCTTCTACTTCAACTGCACAAACATACGCACACCTCTGTCAACACGCACTCATTCTGACCTGCCTCACGTCACTCCTAACCGGCAGTGCCCCCAGCACCTGCAAAACACTGACCATGCTGTGCAAACATCAACCAGTGATTCGCTCTTTGCCCTGCTCTCAGATCCATGAGCATCTTCACCACACAGTCTCCTACGCATCGGGTACACAAATACGGGGGCGGGTCAAACACACACGTGTGATTTCGGTCATGCTCTAGGTAGAGTTCACTCTTCTCCACTTGTGGCCCATTCAGGATTTGAGCCCAGGTCTCCAGACATGCAACGTTAGCCTATTAACACCAGCGAGACCTACAGCATCTCAGGTCTGAGTTCTGAGGCTCCCGAAATCTCTAAACAATGTTATTTTCTTGTCAAATCAGCACGTTCCATTTTTAAACCCAAAGGATGGAAAAAAGCTGGGGGAAGGGTGGGTGGAAAGATGATAAGACACTTGCTGTATTTTTAGCGTGGGAGTTCTTTCCATTATAGTAAATCTCTTCTCTGCTAAGCCAGGAGCCAACTTTGCATTTAGTATTTTGGAGGGTTTTTTTATTATTATTTAAAACATGTTTTACTGTAGCACATTTAACCAAGGAGAATGAAAAGCGGAATTGTGGTTAAGGCCTGGAGTCCCCTGGCTTCTGTTCTCAGCTCTGCCACAGACTATTTCACCAGGAGCAAGTCACTTGACCTTGCTGGGTCTCGTGATTACCTATGTGTTTGCATTACAGTGACGCCTACAGGCCTTTGTTGACATCAGGCTCTCTCTGTGCTAAGCCTTGTACGCGCCCATAATGAAAGAAGGCCCTGCCCCAAAGAGCTTGCAGTCTAAGCTCTCATGTTGGGTAGGAGAAAGGAATGACTATTGCCAGAGAACAGACACACAGAGAGGCGTGCCCGCAAGAACACAGGGACTCTGCAGGAGTTGGAGCAGGATCTGGAGTCAAGCAGGGGGTCAGGAGCTAGCAGGGCTGATGCAGGGCAAGATCAGGGCTTGGAGCAAGGCTGGCACAGGCTGGGCTGGCTTACCCTCGGGCTCAGATGAAGGAGCTGTCTCCTGCCACCCTGGCCACTCAGCAGTGGCAGTTTTCCTCCTGAGACAGTTCTGTGGCCATGGCTGGCCCACCCGCATTCCCGTCACCATGGCGCCCCACCACTCGGGGCTCGTGCCCAGGGGCTGGAAGCAGTGGCCCACATGGGGGCTTGTGGCATGAAGAAAAACAGTATCGGCTCCGTCCATGCCTCCACGTCCACATGGCCCTGTTCTCCTACGGTCAGGCTTCTGCTTGAAACTGCAAGCTGCTGCCACCATCTTCTCCAGGCCCAAAGCCACCTCCGAAACACCTGGCAGCAGCTTCAGCAGGGGCATGCCGAGGGAACACTGACTCCACAGAGCGCAGCCACTGCCGACCCCGGGCTGAGGAGGATCCATGTCAGAGCCCACCCCCGCACCAGCTTGGGGCCCGCCAGGAAACGAATTTCCCAGGCCTAGACCACTTCCTCCCACAGTCGCCACAGCAGGCAGAAAAGCGGCCCCACGGCACCCTGTGAACATGAGCAAAGAGCAATGCAGTTGGCTGAGGTGCTAGGGATCACAGGCTAGCAGCTCCCGCTTCTCCTGGCCAGGCACAAGGCCAGGGCGGAGACGGGACAGCAGCAGGCTGACCAACAACAGGGCCATGCTTGAGCAGGTTAGGCACTCGTGCGTTGGTTAATCCAGGGGGCTGAACTCACGGTAAGCCCACACGGACAGCCTGAGACACACTGCCTCCAGGTAAAGTGAGGGCGCTGAGGCTACACTGGGGAGCAGGAAATACCTCCAACAGCCTTTGAGTGGCAAGCACTGCGCAGAGGCAGCCATGCATTTTACGCAGTGCACCAAGGCCTTGAGGACATTCTAAGCAGGGGCCGTTTTCTAGGCTAGAAGCCACTGCCACAGTGAACCGCTGCCAAACCTTTCACCAGGCTGGAGCCAGCAATGTGGAGGGTAAGCTGGGGAAGTCCAGGCCAGTCAGCCTCACCATCTCCTGCAGCTCTCTCCTGTGCTTTCCCACCGCCACCATCCTGCCCAGCTCTCTGCCCAGCAGGGCAAACCAGCTGGGCTCATCCTCAGGGGAAGGGGCAGACAAGCACCGTGACAAACACTCAGCAGGTCCGGGTGTCGCCTCCATGGGTTTGGAACTTCCCCCACGCGCAGCCAGATGGGAGGCCCAGGGGCTAGGGATGTAAGTGACTAGTCGACTACTCGCATTCCCCGCCCCTGCCCTTGCTGCCACTGTATCTGTCCCTGTGCCCACTGGGACGCCCTGTGGACAGGAGCTGCTCCAGCTGAGCAGGCAGCCCAACTCAGTCCCGGCTCGTGCCAGGTCTGGGACCTACCCCTGCTGCGGCTCTGCAGTTTAAATGTACTAAGAGCCAGGCTGCCTGCTCGCCCAGTTCCTACTGCATTTAAACTGCAGAGCTGCAGCCAGGGCAGCTCCTGGGCCCATCGCGAGCCGGAAATGAGCGCCTTCCCTTATCGACTAATCGTGTAGTTGACAGAATTTTTATTGACTACACAACCAGCTAATAACGCGCCTCTTAACATCCTTGCCAGGGGCCACATCTGCAGCGCACAGTGTTACTCTCCAGGCACAAGTAACGGGGCAGGGTAAGAGGGACGCTCCTGCATTTGCTGGTGCAGCTAAGCAGGACTAGGCCAGGTTCAATGAGTGTAACTAAGGCTGAGTTGGTGAACACGGAAGAAGAGAAACAGAGC